ACCTGGAACGCAAATCAATTCAGCCACTTCATTTGGTTTTGCCCTAAATTTCCATCCCTGCCAACTCTGAAAATGCGACCTGAAGCGCCACTACATTCCTCCATAACGTCAGTCGAGCCCTACATCAATCCCAATCAAAAATTGCCCCACCTGAAACGAACTTTTGCAACCAATACAGACATGGAGGGAGATATTGGAGGTAAATAGAATGGAGGGGTTGGTGTTTTGTCACTGTTTGAGGGGAATGCTGCCTGGACATTTTTGATTTGCAATTATGAAAATGGGAATTGATGATAAAAGTTTACTATATATTGAATAGCAAAACAAAAATTGGAAGAGAACAATTTTTTTGGGAAAATTAGATTTGGAATGGCCACTCATGAGGAGATTGAGAATGTAAATGTCTCGAGAAATTATATTTTGTTGAAATTATGTTTCTCTTACAAAAAAATACGAATTAACTTGTATATTTTTCTCTTTTTGTATTTGATGTGAAGTCCGCACGTGAATTGAAAAAAGTTGTTGGTTAATCTTATACTATAATATAACAGTAATTATATATTGTTTACTAGACTTTACTTGTAATATTGTGAAAAAATTGAGAGATACTCATTATTGTTCATCAAATTACGAGAACTATGGTATAAAAAGTAAAAACAAAATTTACGTATTTTATATAGTACAAGATTAAAAGAAACAGTTCCTACAATTCTTGAAATTGATACATCAAACGTTTCAAATGAAACAAATCATGTTTTTAAGATCTGTCAAGAGAGTATTGAAATTTATTGAAGAACTTTTTGTTCTTGACAATGAGCATGCATGGGATGTCATCACTCATCGTTTACCAAAGTTCGAAAAAATAAAAATATTATTTTCATAAGATTTTAGAAAAAAAAATAAAAAATAACGTATATTGCAAACTAACTTAACTATGACTAGTTTTAGTAAAATTGATCATTCCCCCTTCGCGTCAAATCTAGCCGCAGTGTGAGGGTTTGATTTCTGACTCTTACAAAATATGAAATTTGACTCTTTGTGGATATCAGTATGACAATCCTTGTACATTAACATGTTGAGACACATTCCATGATTTACCTCCTCCATAATACTCTAGGGGTGAGGCGGTGGGGACTCTCAAGATTGGGGTTCAACTTTTTTTTTAGAACCGCGGGATTCGCATTTAAATAACACGAGAAGGAGTGGTACAGGAACGAAATAGGATGTGGACAAGGGAAGAAGTGAGGAATATTTTTTCTTTTTAAGAAAAATTGGACTACAAAATAACGTTCAATCAAATAAAAAAATAGTTGTGGTGGAGGTCAATTATGTCGTACGTCCTATTCGTTTTCACCCTTTAAGATTTAGCCCAGATTTGATGGTCATTATAAACATAAATTGAGAAAAAATTATGTTTATAATAGTAATTTTTTGGAGAATATGCAGTTAAAAGGCAAGGAAAATCTTTAGTTTACATGCAAAATTTTTTATCGTGTGAATGTGTGGATAAAAATTAGTATAAAAAATAAAGAGTTTTGAAATAAAGACTGTCAAACATGGGCTTCGTTACAAGTATAAAAGAATTCTAACTTGATATGGACGGATTATATGAAAATAGGTAATATTGATACACAGGGACGAAGCCAGAGAATGATTTTAGGATGTGCTGAAACTTAAAGAATATCAAATGAACTCATGGCACAAGAAATTGAGTTTTGGAGGCTATCCTCGTGACATTCATGATAAAAAAATCAATGAAACAAAAAAAGTTTAGATATCTCACATTAAGATATTCCACTAAATCTTTGTAATTTTTTATTTTACAAAATAGAAAAATCGATGTTTGCCTTAAAAAATATAAATTGACTACGTCCATTTTTTGCTCGATTTCAAGAATATACTTATATATAGATTACTTTATAAATAAATATTTTTTAACAAATATTCTTTTTATTGTCAATATCGAATCAAGAGTAAATTATTTATTTTGATCATAATATTTTTTTTATGGTCACAATAAGTAATTTTTTTTTTTATAAGTATGAATAAATAATATATGAAAACATATGTAGGAATAAAAAAAATTAATTACTTTTAAATTTAGCAAAATATGTACTTCCCCATCCCAATTATATAAACTTGTTTTGTTTTTCACATGGATTAAGAAAACTTCTTTAATGTCATTGGAAAATTAAATTTTGCCAAAATCTTTTCTAGTTTACCCTTATTTAATTTTTCAATATGTAAAACTAAATTATTATTGGAACTAGTAAAGAATTTGAAGAAGAAGAAGAAATGAGAGTTGTTCTATGTTTTTAAGAAGTGGGAAATGTATGTATTTGAATGATTTCAAGAAGTTGGCATATTAAGTGGGAAAAATTTAATAAAGATATATTGGTAAAAGAATACAACAAAATATTCTACATTAGAAAATATGCTTATATATTTGGGACAAGAGAAAAATGAAACTCAACATATATAATTGGGACAGTGGAGTAGTATTTCTAACTACTAAAATAAGTAATTTACTTCTAGATCTAGTCAATACAAATTATCTATAATAAAATTTAATTAATAATTATAAGTAAATTGAGTCAAACATGCATNAATTAATAATTATAAGTAAATTTAGTGAAACATGTATTAAATAGAATATCTAATTTGACAATAAAATATTCACGTTTCATTAATACAATTTGAATAATTGAGCATTGGACTTGGGTTGAGATTCAAACTAGAGCTTGGCTAATGCTAATATTTGAGCCAAAATTCTACAATTTCTTCTTAAGGTTTTTATATAGACTGGGGGAGCTGCCCCCCCTACCTTCGCCCCTACTGATACATAAGATTTCTGAACTATTTTTCTACCGTTTTCTGCATCATTTAATTCACTTTTATCGTAACTCTGAGCGCATGGCATTTTTAGTTTGTTTGCCTCGTTTGAATTGAGCATGTAAACATCATTTGGATCTCTCTCTCTCTCTCTCTCACTCATAAAAATTTGACATAGAATGACCTTCTTTTGTCTAGCATAAGATTGGTAATAGATCAGCACTGGTTGTGAGTCTAGCTTTCATTTACTAAAGTAATTCGGAACAAGTCCTACCAATTTGGTATCAATAATTGACTATATAAGTGTTTGATATGACTTTTGAAAAGCCAAAACTGCTTTTACTTTTGCCAATTGTGAGAGCTTTTAGAGAAATTGATCTAATATAACTTCCTCTAAAAGCACTTTTAGAGTCAAAGTTTTTTAAAAAATTAGTTTTCAAACAAAAATTATGATAACTTCCTTCAAAAACACTTCTACAAGAAATAAAAGCTAAAATAAAGCCAAGCCAAACGGACCATACAACTGTTTGGTTCTTTAGCAAAGAAGCTTGAGATATGGTTTTTCCTAATAAAATTAATTATTTTACTTCGAAAACTAATTAATTCAACCATAATTCCTATAAATATTTACAATTCCATTAATTTCAGTAGTGACGGTATATTCTTTAGCAAATTGCAATGTTGCGAAAATAGTTGCACAATCAACCTCGCAACATGAGAGACGTGGAAAGAAGTATTGTCGTGTTAGAAACATTCCCAAAAATCTTGTTACTAAATGCAGTTAGAAATGTTTTTAATAAAGATATAACGATACATTTTACCTTGTTCTTTCTTGTTGAATGAATATATATGATAGTGTTAGCACCCACTCCCTCAACCCGTAAAAAAATCTCAAACCCATCCGGAGAACGAGCCTTTTTAGGTATCTGGCCTTTTTTCCTTTGCCATTCTTAAATCTGTGATCCTCGCTCTGGGCTAATGTCTCTACTCTTTCTAGGGTCACCGTTGGCTAAAAACCATTCCTCACTTGTGATGTGAAGCGGTTTTCAATTTCCAATTTTTTTGTGAAGATCTTGGCATCAAAGATTCTTTTCCCGAAGCAAAAAAAAAAAAACCCCCACCGTGGTGGAGCCCCCTCCCAATGGCCCTAAGCGCTCAAACCAACCCTTGTGATGTCACTGAACGAAAGATGATGTTATTCATATTGCAACAGATGCCAATTTATCACTATGCTACGTTTTAAAATGTGTTTAAAACACTTGTGTTTAACATTTTAATTTAATGACATTGCCATAACCTTTGTGTAATTACCGTCATCTAGAGGGTAATAATGATATAATGTAGAAGAATATTGAAATTTGAAACAAAATAAACAATTACCAATTCAATTGAAATAAATTAAAGTTTAACTACCCAAATGATTAATCAGACAACATTACATTTCAAAGTCGCAATTATCAAAGGTAGAAATATATAATCACTAATTTGTGAAAGAAAAATGTCAATGGACCCAATTTCATTCATATTTCTCCATAATCTACTCATCTTGCATATAATATAGGCTCCCACATCATCACATGGCGACAAACCCTAAATGACCCTTTTGCCCTTGCCAAGAAAACAATTACCCTGGCAGACCTTACGCGTAATTATGGCAAGAAAATTCACCTCGTCTCTACGAAAACAGTGTACTACTTTATTTTCACGTGGTAAATTGGGGGGTGGTAATGAGTTAAGTCCAGTCGGAGTTGATTGCAAGTTTTTCAATTTAAAAAATAAATTAATTAATTAAATACAAGATAAAAAGTCTTTTAAGTCGAGTTGAGCTTTCGATTGTTCGAGCTCTCATGAGTCAGATTACTAGCCACTAGCCAGCGATCCGAACTAATTACCAACCATATCTGGAGTGGCATGCTATTGCTATATGAAATCACAAAGTTGTTTTCGTACCCCACCCACCCACCCACCCACCCCTCGCTTGGTTGAAAAGAAAATTATTATTTTTCAAGCAAGCGCGTCCCGAGGGCATCCCTAGTCTACTCATTCACCCTACCAAAAGACGGACCAAAAACCAACAGAAAAAACACAAGTGAAAAACCAAAAGCAAAAGTCTTAGTCCCCCACAGAAACCAGATCAAGAAAATCACACACAATTCGACCGCCACAAAATGATAGAAGACCGCCGTGCTGGGCCTCCCCATGCTGCCATCTTGGCGGTGGTGGTGGTTTTAGTCATGGTAGTGCCGACATTACTTGGTGACCAAGGTGAAGCACTTACTGAGTTCATCGCCGAGTTGCTCAGCCCAGTTGGGCTCCTCCTCCTCCCTATAATCCTCCTTCTCATCATCCGATTCCTCTCCTCCGACAGTGGCTCATTCGTCACCAGCATATTCTCCACCGGAGAACCCAATACCATCCACCGAGTCAGTGGCTCACCGGTCGGAGTTGCTCTTGTTCTTGTACTTGTTTTGTTCCTCCTTTACAACCGCGTATCAATCTTTGGAGGTGATGATGATTCTGGAGATTAAACTTTTACAAATACACCAATATACATACGTATATGTGGATGTGAATATTATTGTGTTGTTGTACCATATTATGATCTTGCTTTTCTGTAATAATCTTACTCTTGATAATAATTGAGATATCTTTGATGGGATTTCTTCAATTTTCAGGGATCTTTAATTATTAAGTGTAAAAGTAAATAGTGAGTATATTTTGTACCAACGTAGAGTAAGATTGTGTATGAACATGGAGGAGACTACTTCTTGACAGCAGTACCCTTTTGTTGACACTTTCTTCGTAGGATATTTTGAGGGTATTCTTGTCAATTTCATATCTTTCTCCGTGGTTGGTCGAATGGAGTCGGCTGGGCAAAACTCGATTCTAGCCCATGTAACTTTGTTTTTTTAGTATTTTCACCCTTCATTCACTATTAGGGTGGCTTTGTGTAATAATGAATGAGGGTATTATTGTCATTTTGAAATTTCCGGCCATTGGCATAGTTGTTTTTATTCCTCGCTCATAATAAATTTAAAATTGAATGCATCACTTCCACGTTTCAACGAATAACATATGATTTAAATAATTGTTAACATGTCACTAACACTTCCATTTTTAAATATATTATTATAAACTTAAGTACAAAACAAATAACAAACTTTTATTTTAATTAATCTAACGTCATTTAGATACATTGCATAACACCTATAGTAGACCTTGTTAATTTTGATATATGGTTTTTTTTTTTTAATTTATTTTTTTTTTTG